GTCCTTGGGGTTCTCTGAGCTTGTTTGTTTTTTTGAAACCTTTTCTTACCCAAACTGGGTAACTTCTTAAAGCCCCCTAGCGGGGTAATGAAAGTTTGGCAAGAAAACAACCAAGCTCAGAGAACCCCAAGGACTCCACAGTTCAACCCTGAGCTGCACATATTCGCTTCTGTTGACTCCAATTATCTCTGCTCATCCTAGGAGCTCCAGCAGAGTGGACATGTTTCAGGTTCAGACCAGTGTTTAGAAGTAGGCTGACTACCCAGAAAAAGGACCAAAGTAAGTTTGGATGGTAGAGAACCTTCTTGGAGCCCAGAACAGGTGGTGGGGAACAATTTCTCCAGTCTTTTGGTTATGCAACCAATGTTTTATGTTTGGCCATGTCCACCATAGAAGCCATTTTATGAATAGACAACCTGCACACACACACACACTCCATACCCATATTATGAAAGCATTTACAATACACTCTCAAAATTCCCAAAATATCCAAAGCCCATAAAAGTTTGCCTACTCTTTTACTTAATAGAACCTAAGGTATTGAAAAGCAACATAACCCTACTGACCATCTTTCTGTTTGTGAGCATTTCTTATATAGATGAATATGGTTTGGTATTCTAGCAATCTAAATGCTCTGATCACAAAGAGCAGTACGTCTCCACCTTTCTCAAACTGGATATTCTACTATTAGCTATTTTGTAAGCATGGTTGGAGAGAGAAAATGTTTGGATCATTATGCTTGGTTATCTACAAAGCTATGTAGGAGTGATATAGATCAGACCTGAACGACTTGTGCATTTCCATGGCAAAACTCACGCAAGTGTTTGATACTCTTCATATTTTTACAGATTCAACTAGATCTTAATAGTTTTTGTATCCTCAGTGAACCACCATAACATTCTATTCAGTTTGGTACAACACAACCTGTGATGTAGCAAGTATATGAGGAAATTGATTTATGAATGCAATTATGGAGTTGTCCAAATCATTTTCTAAAGTTTATGTTTTTTCCCATGATTAAAACTGGCCTGCTTGCAGGAGTATTGTCTTCCTATGTACTTTTATATAAACACAAAATGCTAACAACTGGTAGATGTTGACTTTTCCATAAATAAAATTCATCCCTCTATTCCCTCATCATCCCATCTTACTCTATAATATTAAGATTTTTTTCCATAGCATGTTTTTTAACTATTTGAAATTCATTTTCCCACAGACTTGTGATCTGACAACACAGACAACACAAGCCTAAAACTGTTATTCTCCTTTATGACTAGATTTTAGTGCTTCTACACCTCCTCTGCTTTCTGTTTAAGATGCAGCTGTTTATTTTATCCATAAAGTTCATAGAGTCAGTTTTTCATTGGAACTTTATCTTCAGAACTATTGACAGGTAAAAAACTTATTTCAGAGATTGTTATCATCAGTCTTCTACATGAGTAGGTAATCTGAATGCTCAGATAGAGGCAGTATTTCCAATGGCAGACACATTTTCAAAATGCTGTATGCACAATTAGGCAGCTATGTTCTATGTTCTTTAAGATCTTTGATACAGAAGTCACTGTTATCTTCCTTTATTAAATCCCAACTTGCTGGGGAGGAAGTGCGCTTGTTTAGCCATTTATTATCTTCTCACTGATGTATCCAGGCATTGTGTAGAGAATGAGAACCAAGAATATGGTCACAATTGCAATAATCAGCAATGCAATGATGTACTTCTTGTACCGTTTCCAAATGAAGAAGACAAATGTTTTCATGGGGTTCACAAACCAGTTGAAGGATGTTTTGGGACGACTAGAAAAGAAAGAAGAGAGGTACAGAAAATGTATTTTAGATAGGTGAAAAAAAAAGCTAAGCAGCCAAATGCTAAAATTTTAAATATATAAACAATACACCCTATACAGTATTTGACTCCTGCTGACTATATAGATGCTTGGGTTTATAAGGAGGCCCCTTCTCAACCAGAAAGTTCTGCTCATCATCCTATCTTCTTTAAAGAAAGCCCAAAAGCAGAACACAAGGGCAACAACCTTATCTTTCTGTTGGTCAACAGCAACTGATATTCAGAGAAAAGTTGTTTCTCATTCTGGAGGCAGGATACAGTCATCACAACTACACATCATTAATTACCTTATTCTCCTTAAGCCAATATTCTTTGCTTCAGCCTCACTTCCTAGAAAGCTAAAGATCTTTCAAATCACGTTGCCAGTTTTTAAATTGAATATATTCCAATTCAGTTAATGTATTCTATTTCATTAGCAACATAATTGGCAATTTTAGCAGCATGATAATTTTGGATATAAATCAATTATTGGAAAATTTAGGAGCTCTCTCCTTTACCACTTTCCAGCCATCTAGACCCAAGATGATAGTAAAAAATAGGAAAATACAGCAGAAAGTAAAATATCAGGACTTCTGAATGGAAGTGGGCCACATTCATATAAAATTATCCTAACCTTACATTTAGCTCACTCCTCACACACCCAAACCGTAGGATCCTAGAGAAACCTCCACTATTTTTCACTGACACCATTTTGGGTGGGAAAAGCAAGGGCAAATGTGGGTTTGATATATGACTGGGCTATTTGTAAGACAATCTGTCTACATTTATCAGCACTTACTTGGGTTTTTCCAAGGGTTCTGGCTCTTTTCTCCCCAGACCAACTGGGTTTTTCTCAGCTTCCTCTATAGTCAATAGCTGAAATTCAGCTTCTACTTTTCCCTGGAAAAAAGCACACTGTGAAATAGCAGCTGACATTTTCAAGTGTTTGCTGATTAAAGAAAATCCAAAGCAAGAAACACAACAAAAGAGCCAAAATCTTTCTCCAGGAAACACAATTTCCACAACAGTTGAAAGCAAATTAAACATAACATTAGCCAAGCAAATTCAGGGCTAAGAGTAGAATTCCACATATGTGGAATCAGTCATCAGAGAAATGGGAGAAGTCAGTTCACAGTCTTTAAGAGCAACTGCTCTGACTGATGGTTAGAAAACGCGGCAGCTTTTGACAATATATGAGGCACCCTTTATTTTATGTTCTGCATGCAACAGCATACCCCTCCTTAAACACTTTCCCCTCGAGCAAGATAAAGATATTTCCACTGTGTTCAGAGTAGTGCAAATCCCACTTACTTCTAGCTTGGGATCTTCTTGTAAGATCACATCTGTCCACATGTCATCCCCCATGTTCCACCTCTGTCTAGAGCATGGTTGGCGGCAAGTGTTTCTGATTCCGAAGTTCATCTTTTCAAATTTCCTGTCCCTGGAGATTGGTTTATTCTTTTCTCTGATGCAAAACACTTTGGCATCAGTGGTCCTTTGAGACTTTTCTTTTTATTTTGAATACTTTTTTTCCTGTCAGGTTTTTGTTTTATACTGATAGCTGCCATAAATATACAAATCCCAAAGTATAATCTGATGAAATTCAAAGCTTTTTCCTAATATGGAACATGGCTCAGCTTTAATTAATATTCTCTCTCTCAGTGGGGTTTGTATATTTTAAAGTTTAAAATTTTTAAAACTTTTTGATGATGTTGTAGTTTGATAATAACTTTTTAATCTTTTATAATGATTGTTTTTATCTATTTGTTATTTTATTTAATTGTTGCATGCCACCC